AAGATGACTGCATCAGTGTGTATCTGAGGTCATGTACATCAGTTGATCGATGTAGATAAAGGGCGTTTCTGACTCTAATCGAGGCGAAACAAAGTATTACTTTCTCTGCGCCATGTTTTTCAGGAAAATATTATTGAATTTAAATACTGTATGGATTTACAGGTGACAATGTGTAACTCCTACAAAAATAATAAAATGCAACATCACCAACAGCTAAAGGACAGTGCTGCTGATACAAGATTATATGTTCTGATTTAGATTATATAAATATATATATTATTATTATTATCTCATTTTTCAATGACTGAAATGTTGGTTTATTTGCCCTAAATGTTCTTTCTGTGTTTTGTTTTTAAAGCTTTTTAAAAGTTCTTCACAAGCTTAATAAAGAGAGACATGGTTTGAAAAGACACTTTGAACTTTGTTGTTGTTTGACGCTTTGTTTTGTCTTAAAATTTTGAGTTGCAATTTCAAAGACGACGTTTATTCAGTGTATGAAAACATAGTGTCTTATAGCAAGACTGCCAAGGAATTATTTATCAAATCATAAAGTTTAGGGGAAAAAATCACTGGACTCCTTTCTGTTATAATTCATCAATAGCTTGTACTGTATCATGTATTACATATGCACTGCAGTTTACAGTAAAAATCTGCAAAAATGCCTCTTGTGAAAAAAAGTGTAAATGAAAAGAAATAAGTTGCTAATGTTTCATCAGTATTTTACTGTAAAAGTTGAAAATGACAAGGCCTAAATGTCAGCAACAGCAAGATACCATTAATTTTACAGTAACATAATGGCAAACCTGCTTCCAATTCTTTACTGTTTTTTAACGACAAAATATTTAACAGTGAAGGCCTTTCTACACAGCAGACATTACAGAGATAATTAATTGGAATAGCGATAAACAATTAATCATTAAAATTTTTTTTGGCAAAATTATAAAGAAAAAAAAAATCACTGGCTCCAGTTTCATGAATGTGAATATTTGCTTATTTCCCAGTTTTCTATTATAGTAAACACAACATTTTGGAGTTTTTGACTGTGGGTCAGATAAAAATTTTTTTAATATGTTAATTTGGGCTTCAGGAAATAATGACAACAATGAAGGCAAGTTAAACAATATAATAAAATAAAAATATTTTCTAAATGTTGAATGTTGTTGTCACCCACCTCAGTTGGACATTAGAGCCTAATATTGTTGTAGTCTTTATTCCCCAATATATCGCCATTTAGCAAACCACATCAAGATTGTTGCTTGTTTAAAAATTTGAATACAATTTGAATGTAAAATCTTAATCATAAGGTTGTGGTGCCTTATGTGTTCCTACAGCCACATTCTGTTTTAGTAATCCATATTATATCTGTTGAAATCAAACACATCCCATCCTTAAACAATCACTAATGAACTGTAAATAATGTACTCAGTTTAAGCAGTTCCCATTTCTTGGCTAAAGCGTACACAATATGAACTGTCATCCTCTGAGAAAAGGATAATGTTGCTGATGAAAAACATTTAAACAAAGACCCAGATGTGTGAAGACTATCAAATCTAACCAGTCATGACTCACTAAAAGCAATTGCATTAATTTCCGATTATTCTTAAAGAACTAGATTGTGAACCCTTATGCTGTATGGTATAAGGTCACTGCAGATTTTTTCAGTTGTATGATGTGTTTTATGACTTTTTTAGTAACCTAAATTTTGTAAACGTGTGTCTCTGGCATTACCTGGTTTTTCTGGTTGTATGAAAGTAGCCCCTATCACCAGTACCTTGTCACTGAAGGGCATAGGTTTGGTTTCAATATTGATAGGGACACAACCCTTCCAAAATAAAGAGGACTTTTCAATGCTGTCAACAGATTTACCTATTTATTAACATATTATCCGTATTTACACTAAGATCTGTATTTACTTGTATTTACATTTAAATAAAAAATTTATTCAGAAACAGATCAAAGATAAAAAGAAAGTACATTTTGGGGAATTACTTGTTACTGGAAAAGAGAGAAAAAACAAACAATATTTTTGTACTTTTGCATCCCACACCAACACTTGTATATTCACTAGATCAACCAGTGTTGCAGTTCCCCTTTTACAACAACAGTAAAATGCTGCTAATCCAGTGATGCATCAGTATTCACAATCTAAAAATGTTCTTTTTAATTCAATGTGGCTGCTGGATAGTTAGTTGTGTTAGTGGTGAAAAAACTCCTGATGTCTCTTTTTTGGTTACATGATATCTACAAAGTGCAAACTTGTTGGCATGGACAAAATTAAGTTGTGTGCTGTGCAGTTCAGGCAACAGAGAAGAGAGTCATCTGAAACACAAATTTTCGGCCATGTTTGAGGTCTGGACTGATACTTATGACTTGTTATCAACTTACTGATCCGCTCTCACCACTTCTGTGGCTGGCAGTAGTAAGTGCAATATTTGTGCATGACATAAGCCTCCAGATAATTCCCACCCCTTTCAGCCAAGCAAATGCTAACATGCCTACATTGGTCATCTTGGAGATGTAGCCTTTTGGAGGGCACATAGGAATTATCTAATATGACTTCACTCCAAACAATGTGAACAAGTTCACTCAAACATTGGTAGGGACAATTCTGTCCTCCCAAAATATTGGTGGGGACATGTCCTTACCGTCCATATGCAAGCAATAGACTATAAATAAAGATGGATGTAGCATCCGTGACGTCACCCATAGGATTCTGAAGAGCGGTTTTGAAGTTCAGAGTGGGCTGCTCCACCATTGCCATTTTGGCAGTACCTGACTCCGCTGAACTCCTGGCTAATACAAAAATGGGCAAAGAGGTGGGGCGTGTGGCAGGCCTACACTCACCCACCTGTCACTCAAAGTGGCACGCCGTCAATTATACAGAACTTTAAGCCTTAATAAAATTTATACAGGTGAGTTATATAAAAATTTCATCCTCTGTACAGTTGTCATGAAAGAGGAAATTAGCCATAGAGACCAAATCCTTTTTTTGTTCCTGGCTGTAAACATGCTTATTTTTGCTGTAAAGATGACATTTTAACATGGGGTCTATGGGGTTTGATTCGCTTTTAGAGCAAGCCTGAAGTGGCCATTTGAAGAGCAGTTTATGGTAGTTCCATGTTGGCTTCATTTTTGAGCCTCAGAGGTGGCCACTTGATGCAAACCTGTGCGCTTGTAATTCCTTCCGTGGCTAAGGGAGGAGCAATTCACAAACTAAGTACAATGTGCAATCACAGAGGAAACACCTGTCTGTAACTGGAGGAGTGAAGAGCAACACCAGTCATCATGGAAAGAAAAATCCTTTGTTTGATGTTTTTGCTTGGCTATTTTCATGCTTCCTTTGGACAAGGTAAATATTCATTACAAGTCATTTACAAGTGATAATTTTATGGCTTTGGTTGTTTGTATCTTATGATATGTAATTTGGATGAGAGTAGACAGAACACTAGTAGTAGGAGGATTTCCAGAATATTCAAACCTTAACAATAGTAAATAAGTAGGTTTTATCTTTGGCTGTATGTTTTTTGCCTGCTGTTGATTTTGCTTTCAAATACTATTAATTGTTGTCCAATTAGAAAAATGTGTGTCATTTCCAGTGTAAATTGCTGTAAACAAGCTCAGACTATAACAATTACACAATTAGTAAATGTGTTTATTTGTTGTTAGAAGTTACAACATACTTATTATAAGCATGAAAACAAGTATGACTGTTGGCCTAAGCCATCTTAAAATTAAAGTTATTAAACTTTGAATGATGTACAAAAAAATTACTTGATTAAAATAAGGTAGCATAGAGCCGGTTCATTAGCTTTGGTTTACTTCCAAGAGGGCATTTAATGATTAAATGGGTTTCTGTCAAGGACAATGGAGAATCATAAACCAGAGAACAAACATGAAATCCTGGCTGGCAGACAACATCAGGTGCCACTCTCTCACCTTGAGCTGAAAAAGTTGTCATTTGTACATTTTTGCAGTATTGGTGTAATAGCATTTTTAGACACTGCGCTTTATATTGCAAAACAATAAGTCTGATTGTACTAATTATAAATTCCAAAAACAATCATTCCCTATTGAAGGAATGATTGGTTTTAGTTTTCATATAGAATATTCCATATTCCATATTTGATATGAAATAACAGATCACTAAAACACACATTAAAGTCAGTCAAGATCAGATGATCAGTAACCCCATTGTATTGTGTCAGTTATCAAGCTCAAGTAAAGGTAGTTGGGTCAGATAAATAATGATTTATCTGGTTTCAGCTATGACGACTGTGCCAACCATGACAATTGGTGCCTCAACAACAACAGCTACAAACTCAACGACAACTACAGGACCAACTACCACAACTGCTGGCTCAATGACAAGTGCTGGCTCAACAACAACTACAGAACACACTACCACAACTGCTTGCTCAATGAGTACGGCAGAACCAACTACCACAACTGGTTCCTCAACGGCAATTACTGGACCAATTACAACAATGTCTGACTCACAAACTACAAGACAAACTACCACAATTGCTGGCTTAACAACCCCAGCGTCAATTAACACAAGTGGCTCAACAACAACTTCATTACCAATGACCACAACTGCTGGTTCAATGAACACTTCTGAACCAACTACAACTGTTGACTCAACAACAGCATCAACTAACAAAACTGGTGGCTCAACAACAACTGCTGGCTCAATGACAACTACAACACTAACTAACTCAACTACTGACTCAACAACAGCTGCAGCACCAACTACCACAACTGCCAGGTCAACGGCAAATGCTGTCTCAATGACAACTACAGGAACAACTATCTCAACTGCTGACTCAGTGACAGCTGCTGGTTCAACGACAACTACAGGACCAGCTACCCCAATAGCTGGCTCTACAAAAACTGCAGCACCAACTACCAAAACTGCTGGCTCAACGGCAGCTGGTGGCTCAAGGACAACTACAGGACCAAATATTACAACTGTTGACTCAACAACAACCAGTGAATCAAGGATGACTACACGAGCAACTACCACGACTGCTGGCTCAACGACATTTACAGGACCAACTATCTCAACTGGTGGCTCAATAACAACTGCTGGCTCAACAACGGCTGCTGACTCAACGACAACCAAAAGACCGGCAATCACAACTGGTGCCTCAACAACTACCACATCTGCTGGCTCAACGACAACTGTAGGACAATCTACGTCAACTGCTAGCTCAACAACAATTGCAGGACCAACTACGACAACTGCTGGCTCAACAACAATTGCAGGACCATCTACCACAACTGTTGGCTCAACAACAACTGCTGGCTCAATGACACCTACAGCACCGACAATCCCAACTGATGGCTCAACAACAATTTCTGACTCAATATCAACTACAGGACCAACTATCACTACTGCTGGCTCAACAACAATTGCAGGACCATCTACCACAACTGTTGGCTCAACAGCAACTGCTGGCTCAACGACAAATACAAGACCAACTATCTTATTTGCTGCCTCAATGACAGCTGCAGGCTCAAGGACAGCTGCTGACTCAACAACAACTGCTGTCTCAATGACACCTACAGCACCGACAATCCCAACTGCTGGCTCAACAACAACTGCTGGCTCAACAACAACTACAGGACCAACTACCACGACTGCTGGTTCAACAACAACTTCTGACTCAATATCAACTACAGGACCAACTATCACTACTGCTGGCTCAATGACAACAAGAGGAATGACAATCCCTACTGCTGGCTCAACAAGAACTTCTAGCTCAACAACAACTGTAGGCAAAACTACCACAACTGGTAGCTTAATGGCAACTGCTGGCTCATCAACAACTGCTGGCTCAATAACAACTACAGGAACAATTACCACGACTGCTGGTTCAACAACAACTTCTGACTCAATATCAACTACAGGACCAACTATCACTACTGCGGGCTCAACAACAAAAACAGGACCAACTATCTCAACAGCTGGCTCAATGACAGCTGCTGGCTCAATGAGAACTGCTGACTCAACAAGAACTACAGGACCGACAATCCCAACTACTGGCTCAACAGCAACTTCTGGCTCAACAACAACTGCAGCACCAATTGCCACAACTGCTGGCTCAATGACAACTACAGGACCAGTTACCACAACTTCAGGATCAACACCAACTGGAGCACCAACAAACACAACTGCTAGCTTAATGGCAACTGCTGGCTCAACAACAACTACAGCACCAACTACTGCAACTGTTGGCTCAACAACGACTGTAGGACCATCTACCACAACTGTTGGCTCAACAAATCCTGGATCAACGACAAATATAGCACCAACTACTGCAACTGTTGGTTCAACAACAGTTGCTGGCTCAATGACAACTACAGGACCAACTATCACAACTACTGGCTCAACGACAACTGCAGGACCAGCTACCACAACTGCTGGCTCAATGATAGCTACTGGCTCAATGAGAACTGCTGACTCAATGACAACTACAGGACTGATAATCCCAACTGCTGGCTCAACAACAATTTCTGGATCAACAACTGCAGAACCATCTGCCACAATTACTGGCTCAATGACAACTACAGGACCAGTTACCATAACTGAAGGCTCAACAACAACTGTTAGCTCGACGACAACTACAGGACCAACTATCTCCACTACTGGCTCAACAACAACTGCTATCTCAACGATAATAACAGGACCAACAATCCCAACCGCTGGCTCAACAACAACTGCTGGCTCACCAACAACTGCAGGACAAACTACCATAACTGGTAGCTTAATGGCAACTGGTGGCTCAACAACAACTCCTGACTCAACAACAACTTCAGGACCAACTACAATGACTGCTGGCTCAACAACAATTGCGGGACTAACTACGACAACTGCTGGCTCAACGACAAATATAGCACCAACTACTGGAACTGTTGGTTCAACAACAGCTGCTGGCTCAATGACAACTACAGGACCACCTACCAGAACTGCTGGATCAACACCAACTACAGGACCATCTGCTGCAACTGTTGGCTCAATGACAACTGCAGGACCATCTACGGATACTGCTGACTCAGTGACAGCTGCTGGCTCAATGACAACTACAAGACCAGTTACCACAACTGCAGGATCAACATCAACTAGGGGACCAACAAACACAACTGCTACCTTAATGGTAACTGCTGGCTCAACAACAACTGCTGGCTCAACAAGAAATGCAGGACAAACTACCGCAACTGTTGGCTCAACAACAACTGCTAGCTCAACGACAATTATAGGACCAACTATCTCCACTGCTGGCTCAATGACAGCTGCTGGCTCAACGACAACTGCTGACTCAACAACAACCGCTGGCTCAATGACAACTACAGGACCAGTTACCACAACTGAAGGATCAACACCAACTGGGGCACCAACAAACACAATTGCTAGCTTAATGGCAAATGCTGGCTCAACAACAACTGCTGTCTCAACGACAATTACAGGACCGACAATTCCAACTTCTGGCTCAACAATAACTGCTAGCTCAATGACAATTACAGGACCAACTGTCTCCACTGCTGGCTCAATGACAGCTGCTGGCTCAACAACAACTCCAGCACCAACTACTGCAACTGTTGGCTCAACAACGACTGTAGGACCATCTACAACAACTGTTGGCTCAACAACAAATGCGGGACCAACTACGACAACTTCTGGCTCAACGACAACTACAGGACCATCTACCACAACTGTTGGCTCAACAACTGCTGGCTCAACGACAAATATAGCCCCGACTACTGCACCTGTTGCTTCAACAACAGCTGCTGGCTCACTGACAACTACAGGACCAACTATCACAACTACTGGCTCAATGACAACTGCAGGACCAGCTACCACAACTGCTGGCTCAATGAGAACTGCTGACTCAATAACAACTACAGGACCGATAATCCCAACTGCTGGCTCAACAACAACTTCTGTACCAACAACTGCAGCACCAACTGCCACGATTGCTGGCTCAATGACAACTACAGGACCAGTTACCACAACTGAAGGCTCAACAACAACTGTTAGCTCGACGACAACTACAGGACCAACTATCTCCACTACTGGCTCAACGACAACTACTGTCTCAACGACAATAACAGGACCGACAATCCCAACCACTGGCTCAACAAGATCTGATGGCTCAGCAACTGTCATGACTGCTGACTCACTGACAGCTGCTGACTCAATGACAACTGCTGTCTCAATGACAAGGACAGGACCGACATTCCCAACCGCTGGCTCAACAACAACTGCTGGCTCACCAACAACTGCAGGACAAACTACCATAACTGGTAGCTTAATGGCAACTGGTGGCTCAACAACAACTGCTGACTCAACAACAACTTCAGGACCAACTACAATGACTGCTGGCTCAACAACAATTGCGGGACTAACTACGACAACTGTTGGCTCAATGACAACTGCAGGACCATCTACGGATACTGCTGACTCAGTGACAGCTGCTGGCTCAATGACAACTACAAGACCAGTTACCACAACTGCAGGATCAACATCAACTAGGGGACCAACAACTGCTACCTTAATGGCAACTTCTGGCTCAACAACAACTGCTGGCTCAATGACAGGTGCTGGCTCAACAAGAACTGCAGGACAAACTACTGCAACTGTTGTCTCAACAACAACTGCTAGCTCAACGACAATAACAGGACCAACTATTTCCACTGCTGGCTCAATGACAGCTGCTGGCTCAACGACAACTGCTGACTCAACAACAGCTGCTGGCTCAATGAAAACTACAGGACCAACTATCACAACTACTGGCTCAACAACAACTGCAAGACTATCTACCACAACTGTTGACTCAACAACAGCTGCTGGCTCAACGACAACTGCAGGACCAGCTACCACAACTGCTGGCTCAATGATAGCTGCTGGCTCAATGAGAACTGCTGACTCAATGACAACTACAGGACGGATAATCCCAACTGCTGGCTCAACAACAACTTCTGGATCAACAACTGCAGCACCAACTGCCACAATTGATGGCTCAATGACAACTGCAGGACCAGTTACCACAACTGAAGGCTCAACAACAACTGTTAGCTTGACGACAACTACAGGACCTAGTATCTCCACTGCTGGCTCAACGACAACTACTGTCTCAACGACAATAACAGGACGGAAATTCCCAACCGCTGGCTCAACAACAACTGCTGGCTCACCAACTCTCACAACTGCTGACTCACTGACAGCTGCTGACTCAACGACAACTGCTGTCTCAATGACAATGACTGGACTGACAATCCCAACCGCTGGCTCAACAACAACTGCTGACTCAACAACAACTTCAGGACAAACTACAATGACTGCTGGCTCAACGACACCTACAGGACAAGCTACCACAATTGCAGGCTCAATGACAACTACAGGAATAACTACCAGAACGGCTGGATCAACACCAAATACAGGACCATCTGCTGCAACTGTTGGCTCAATGAAAACTGCAGGACCATCTTCGGATACTGCTGGCTCAAGAACAACTGCTGGCTCAACGACACCTGCTGACTCAACGACAACTGCAAAACAAACTACCACCACTGCTGGCTCAATGACAACTGCTAATTCAACAACAACTGCTGTCTCAATGACAATTACAAGACCAACTATCTCAGCTGCTGTCTCAGTGACAGCTGCCAGTTCAACAACAACTACAGGATCAACACCAACTGGAGCACCAACAGGCACAACTGCTAGCTTAATGTCAACTGCTGGCTCAACAACAACTGCTGGCTCAATGATAGCTGCTGCCTCAACAATAACTGCTAGCTCAACGACAATTACAGGACCAACTGTCTCCTCTGCTGGCTCAATGACAGCTGCTGGCTCAACAACAACTACAGCACCAACTACTGCAACTGTTGGCTCAACAACGACTGTAGGACCATCTACGACAACTACTGGCTCACCAACAATTGCGGGACCAACTACGACAACTGCTGGCTCAACAACAACTGCAGGACCATCTACCACAACTGTTGGCTCAACGACAAATATAGCACCAACAACTGCAGCTGTTCTTTCAACAACAGCTGCTGGCTCAATGACAACTACAGGAATAATCTACCACAACTGTTGGCTCAACGACAACTGCTGGCTCACCAACAATAGCGGGACCAACTACGACAACTGCTGGCTCACCAACAATAGCGGGACCAACTACGACAACTGCTGGCTCACCAACAATAGCGGGACCAACTACGACAACTGCTGGCTCACCAACAATAGCGGGACCAACTACGACAACTGCTGGCTCACCAACAATAGCGGGACCAACTACGACAACTGCTGGCTCACCAACAATAGCGGGACCAACTACGACAACTGCTGGCTCACCAACAATAGCGGGACCAACTACGACAACTGCTGGCTCACCAACAATAGCGGGACCAACTACGACAACTGCTGGCTCACCAACAATAGCGGGACCAACTACGACAACTGCTGGCTCACCAACAATAGCGGGACCAACTACGACAACTGCTGGCTCAACGACACGTACAGGCTAAGCTACCAAAAGTGCAGGCTCAATGACAACTGCAGGACCATCTACGGATACTGCTGGCTCAACAACAACTGCTGTCTCAACGACAACTGCTGACTCAACGACAACTGCAAAACAAACTACCACCACTGCTGACTCAATGACAACTGCTGTCTCATTGACAACTACAAGACCAACTATCTCAGCTGCTGGCTCAGTGACAGCTGCCAGTTCAACAACAACTACAGGATCAACACCAACTGGAGCACCAACAAACACAACTGCTAGCTTAATTTCAACTGCTGGCTCAACAACAACTGCTGGCTCAATGACAGCTGCTGGCTCAACAATAACTGCTAGTTCAAAGACAATTACAGGACCAACTGTCTCCACTGCTGGCTCAATGACAGCTGCTGGCTCAACAACAACTACAGCACCAACTACTGCAACTGTTGGCTCAACAATGACTGTAGGACCATCTACGACAACTGTTGGCTCAACGACAAATATAGCACCAACAACTGCAACTGTTGGTTCAACAACGACTGTAGGACCATCTACGACAACTGTTGGCTCAACGACAAATATAGCACCAACAGCTGCAACTGTTGGTTCAACAACAGCTGTTGACTCAATGACAACTACAGGACCAACTATCATAACTACTGGCTCAACAACAACTGCAAGACTATCTACCACAACTGTTGGCTCAACAACATCTGCTGGCTCGATTACAACTGCTGGTTCAATGAGACCCACAGGGCCAACAACCACAACTGCTGGCCCAACAATAAATGCAGGACTAACTACCACGACTGCTGTCTCAAGAGCAATTCCAGGACCAACTACCATGACTGCTGGCTCAACAACAAAAACAGGACCAACCATCTCAACAGATGGCTCAATGACAGCTGCTGGCTCAATGAGAACTGCTGACTCAACAACAACTACAGGACCGACGATCCCAACTACTGGCTCAACAACAACTTCTGGCTCAACAACGACTGCAGCACCAATTGCCACAACTGCTGGCTCAATGACAACTACAGCACCAGCTACCACAACTTCAGGATCAACACCAACTGGAGCACCAACAAACACAACTGCTAGCTTAACGGCAACTGCTGGCTCAACGACAACTATAGCACCAACTACTGCCACTGTTGGCTCAACAACGACTGTAGGACCATCTACAACAACTGCTGGCTCAACAACAATTGCGGGACCAACTATGACAACTGCTGGCTCAACAACAACTGCAGGACCATCTACCACAACTTTTGGCTCAACAACTGCTGGCTCAACAACAAATATAGCACCAACTACTGCAACTGTTGGTTCAACAACAGCTGCTGGCTCAATTACAACTGCTGGTTCAATGAGACCCACAGGGCCAACAACCACAAACAGGACCAACTGTCTCCACTGCTGGCTCAATGAACTGCTGGCTCAACAAGAACTGCAGGCCCATCTGCTGCAACTGTTGGCTCAACAACATCTGCTGGCTCCTCCACTGCTGGCTCAATGAACTGCTGGCTCAACAAGAACTGCAGGCCCATCTGCTGCAACTGTTGGCTCAACAACATCTGCTGGCTCCTCCACTGCTGGCTCAATGAACTGCTGGCTCAACAAGAACTGCAGGCCCATCTGCTGCAACTGTTGGCTCAACAACATCTGCTGGCTCCTCCACTGCTGGCTCAATGAACTGCTGGCTCAACAAGAACTGCAGGACCATCTGCTGCAACTGTTGGCTCAACGACAACTGCTAGCTCAAAAACAACTTCAGGACCATCTATCGCAACTGTTGGCTCAACTACAACTGCAGGACCATCTACGGATACTGCTGGCTCAGTGACAGCTGCTGGCTCAACGACAACTACAGGACCAGTTTCCACGACTGCTGTCTCAGCAACAACTGCAGGACCAACTACCACAACTGCAGGCTCAACGACAACTACAGGACCAACTACCAGAACTGCTGGATCAACAACAACCACAGGACCATCAGCTGCAACTGTTGGCTCAACGACAACTGCTAGCTCAACGACAATTACAGGACCAACTTTCTCCACTGCCAGCTCAATGACAGCTGCTGACTCAACAACAACTACAGGACTATCTACCGCAACTGTTGGCTCAACAACAACTGCTAGCTCAACGACAATTACAGGACCAACTCTCTCCACTGCTGGCTCAACAACAACTGCTGAGTCAACGACAAGTACAGGACCAACTACCACAACTGCTAGATCAACACCAAATGGAGCACCAATTACCACAACTTCTGTCTCAATGACAACTGCTAGCTCAACAACAACTGTTGGCTCAATGACAGATGCTGGCTCAACGACAACTGCTGGTTCAACAAGACCTACAGGACCAACAACCACAACTGCTGGCTCAACAATAACTGCAGGACCAACTACCACGACTGCTGTCTCAACAACAACTGCAGCACCAACTACCACAACTGCTGGCTCAACGACAACTACAGGACAAGCTACCAGAATTGCTGGCTCAACAACAACTACAGGACCAACTAACAGAACTGCTGGATCAACACCAACTGGAGCACCAACTACCACAACTTCTGTCTCAACGACAACTGCTGGCTCAACAACAACTGTTGGCTCAATGACAGATGCTGGCTCAACGACAACTGCTGGTTCAACAAGACCTACAGGACCAACAACCACAACTGCTGGCTCAACAATAACTGCAGGACCAACTACCACAACTGCTGGATCAACACCAACTGCAGGACCAACTACCACGACTGCTGTCTCAACAACAACTGCAGGACCAACTACCACAACTGCTGGATCAACACCAACTACAGGACAAGCTACCAGAATTGCTGGCTCAACAACAACTACAGGACCAACTAACAGAACTGCTGGATCAACACCAACTGGAGCACCAACTACCACAACTTCTGTCTTAACGACAACTGCTGGCTCAATGACAACTACAGGATCAACTACCACAATTGCTGGCTCAACGACAACTACAGGACCAACTACCAGAACTGCTGGATCAACAACAACTACAGGACCAACTACCAGAACTGCTGGATCAACAATAACTACAGGATCAACTACCAGAACTGCTGAATCAACACCAATCGGAGCACCAACTACCACAACTGCTGGCTCAACAACATCTGCTGGCTCAATGACAGCTGCTTTCTCAACAACAGCTGCAGGACACACTACTGCAACTGTTGGCTTAAAAACAACTGCTAGCTCAATGACAATTACAGGACCAACTACCACAACTGCTGGATCAACACCAACTGGAGCACCAACTACCACAACTTCTGTCTTAACGACAACTGCTGGCTCAATGACAACTACAGGATCAACTACCACAATTGCTGGCTCAACGACAACTACAGGACCAACTACCACAACAGCTGGCTCAATGACAACTCCAGCACTAACTACCACAAATGCATCAACAACAACTGCAGGACCAACCACAATTGCTGTCCCAACGACAAGTGCAGGACCAACTACCACACGTGCTGGCTTCACAACAACTGCATCCTCACCTACCACAACTGTTGCCACAACCACAACAAAATTCACACAAACTACCACAATTGCTCCAGGTAAATGAGTCTTACTGATTTTTTTAAAAATTGAAAATTAGAAATACATTATTCCAGCCATGGACTACAATGGTAGGGGTTCGAATGCAAATATTAAAAATAAACATAAAGTATTTTTAATCCTTGCAGGCCATGCATCACTGGCACATCTACAAATAAAGCTATCCTCTGCTGGTGAGCTCAGCAATGGAACCATCATTAAGCTTGTTGAACAGGTATGTACAACAGAAAATAACTTTGTGTTGTGAATTTTTTTAAGCCAACATTATTGTCAATGCATACCCACAATACAAAAGGGTGAGGCAAAGGGAATAAGATAGATCCTCTGATGTCTATTCTCTGTGTTTTCTCTCCATATAGTTCTTGAGAGACCAGCTCCCGAATGGCACAGTCCACACAGTCACTGTGAGAAACATTCAAAGGGTCAGAGTTGCGCCATAGAAGCTTCATGTGGAATGAAACAGTTAAAAGTAAATGTATAAATGAAGTAATTCAAGGTTAAAAGGGGAAGTATAGTTTTAACACAATGTGAAGGGGCACATCGGTTCACCCCAAGCATTCCCATCATATCTGGAAAGAGATGTTTCTTTTGAGTTTTTTGACTGTTTTGGCACAACACATCAAATGTCATGGTGCTGCCATTATCTACAACAGCTATTTCGAAAAGGACCTGGACTGCACTCCAGGTGTAAGAAAGTTTTTTTTAAGTAAACACAGAGACATGGATTTTAGCCTTCTTATATCAAATTAAATCTAAATTTTGCAGTACTACACTCTTTACTGTATTTCCCAGGAATGTGAATTGTGGAGTTCTACATTTGACTAAGTGTTGAATTGTTTGCACAGTACAATGGGAAGCCCAAACCAAGAAATCTGATCTGTCAAAGAGACGGTGTTTAAGAGGAGTCAGTAATTGCCATGCTTTGTAACCAGAGAAGTGGCTGCCACGTGGACAAGCCTAGTAACCAGGAAACTTTTAAACTATGTTCCTTGCTCACCACTCCCTTTCGTTATAAATAATTCTGGAAAAGCTTCACACAAAACGGCGGCAACAATAACCTTGGTGAGCGCCTTAGGTCAATGTATGATTATTGTAACCCCGAATCTGGGAAGTGAAAACTTTGTGAGAGTGTTACTGGCAGAATATACAGTTAATCTGTTTTGTTTTGTGACATTAAGAATTGCTCAATAAAGATTATATAAAAAGCACTGCTTGCTAGTTGGACAGTGTTGTGCTATAAAACAACACCTAAATACCTTATAAAAGGAGGAGACATTCTGTATGCAGATTAACCTTTTAAACATTTAGGCACATTAGAACTTTCTTCTCAAAATCACTGATTTAAATATTTTTTTCAAATGATTATTTTTGTGCTTCTTATCTTATTTATTGCTCTGACATGTATTAGACTTTTAGCCACATCATTTTCACTTTAGGCTATATGTCCATTTCTGCACTGTCATAGCCTAACCCTCAGACTTCCCGGTTTTGCTTGGACTTAACACTGGATTTGTGAGACAAAATTGGCATTTCTTTTACTTTATGTGGTGTTAAGATACATAAAGAGACATATCTGTTTGAAGTACTGATTTGTGGTGTTCTTCCTGTGTTCTTTAATAAATCTCCTATAAATCAATTTGAAAATACAAAAAAGAATGATAGAGAGAAAATTTTGCTTTTGAATGTGTATCAAGGCTCAATATATTAAATTGCAAATATCAGCAAAGGTGCCATGCAAGATGTGAAATTCAATATGTAATCAGACCACCCTTTTAAATATCAAAAAAGCAGTCTGAAAATATGTAAATGTTTGAGTTACATAACTTAAGAGTTGGTATCTACAGTTTGTTGGAATAGCTTTTAAAAGATTAAAACAAAACATGAATGACAAACTTATTTTGAAGAATTGAACTGTGAGGGACCTTCACTTCCATGTCGCTGCATATGTCAAATACAGTGTGTGAACAAAATTCAACACATCTGATCTGACATCTACAGCAAACAAAAGTCCTAACCCTTGTTAAGGTCACAATCACAATTATCATTTCCTCCCACTCTTGCAAAAGAAATTATTGTCTCCATGACACAAAAGAAATTAGCATGTGCACAGTTGCTATTATACACGTGACTCTGAATGAATAAAGCTTTAAACAAACACTGGGTGAGGCTTTCGTTCACCCCTGACTGCAGTGTGGCTTTCTTCTTTTGTCTTCTATTAATATACTTTAGAAACATCTGAGCTTCACAAAGTCATCTTCAGCAGGACATGAGATAACCAGGAAGGCTTCCAGTTGCTGCACTTGTCATCACTTCTGTACAGCTGTCCTCTCCATCGCCCTCTCTCTGGAAACATGTAAAGCCCAGGGCCTCGCCCACGGCTCTGCTCAGCAGCGCCAACAGATCAATAGTCCCTGCCATTGCCCTTGGCAGGAAGAGCTCCTGAAAAAATTAATTGAAAGTAAAGATTTTGAGATCTTGAGACAGAAGAAAAAACATGTTCTATCAGGAAACTGTGTCCTCACCTAAGTGCTTCTAAAAAGACACAATTTTTAGTCATAAATTCCACTTCAATTTCGAGTAGCACATTATTACCATTTAAAAAAAAAATCTGTACTCTTTACCTAATGTGGCATGCAACATTATGACAGTGACAAAGCTCTGATAAACCCCCTGTACACTACCTTCTCCATACCCAATAACAGATGGACACAGAAACAAGCTGGAGACTAGAGGAGTAATTAGGGGCTAGAGAGACAGATGTTTTTCTTGGGAGTTAGTGGATACCAAAATCGGAGCTGAAAGGACTTGCATTCATCAGGCAACACAAACATCTTAAAATGAATGCTAATGTTGCTCCATGTCTGCTGCATATGTAAATAGCCAATACAGTATCAACTTTATAAGGTGATAATATGTCAGTCTTGAGTTTACTGTGCTGTGTTGCCCCCAATATAATTTAATGTAGGTTTAAGTGCAGTATTTAGTGAACTTACTTTATCATAACAAAGTAGCCAGATTGTCTCAAAGTTGAGATGTCTCACCTTCTTGTCACACCTGAGATTTCTGTGTCACATCACTAAGTCTCATGCTGAATGCAAGTTTACAGGTGGTTTCCTACATTCTGTGCAGTGTCCTGTAGTCATTTGTTGACCTGTTTTGTCCAAAGGTTTGGTGGTTGTGGTTTTGTTGTGGTTTTATCGTCAGTGATGACTGTGTTGTCTGTGTAGTTATCTTGACTTCTTGCTAACTATGCCACTTTTATACTGTCATATTGTTTCACCAATATAGAGTCATGATGCTGTCGAGATGTGATTTCCTATATTGCAAGGGCATTATTAAAGTTTTTTTTTTTTTGCAAAAGAATGTAACTAAGTGTAAGTGTAATGATGTGTACAGTGGTTTAGGATGAAAATTAAAATGAAAAAATGTTGTGAATCTTATAAGGGCCAAAACGCAACAGGAGCAACAGACTCTGGATTCCAATATTGTTGAAATGAAACAGAAACAGACAGATTCTTTTAATTTTTTTTAATATATTTTAAAAACAATAACAACTAACCCTAACCCTAACAACAACAAAAAAATACATGATTGTCTGAGGTCAAACATCCAAAAGGCTGCTGGTGTAGAAATGATAGAGCCAGGATGATGTTTTTAGTGTTGCCTGGTTGAATCATCCTCAGCAACGACTGTCCAGGGTCTGATGCAGCAGTTCATCGGCCAACAGTCAGCAAACATCATTCAGCAAGTGGTGACACATTTGTCTTGTATGTGTGCGTGTGTGTGTGTGTGTGTGTGTGTGTGTGTGTGTGTGTATATGTGTGTGTCTCAGATGAGCAGGTGTCTCTGGCTACACGTCAGCAGGTGAGGCAGGAAGTACGCAGCCGTGCCGTCGTCAGGTATAAGCTCCAGGAATTCCGCGGGGCTTGTTTCCATGGCGACCACCACCAGTGTCTCTGTTGACATGGAAACCAGCCACATTAAACCAGGCACCAGAACATTAAAACAGAGGTGTTTTTATTTTCATTCTCTCATTAGAGATAATACATCAATGCAAAGCATCAAAGCAGACAGTTATGTTGTCAAGTGAGAGGGTCAGTACAGTGAAATCAATAACTCGGGTGAATATGATATACCCTTCGACAAAACTTTCATTGTCCGTACTGTGGGAAAAGCCTCTACCTTTGAGAGCAGCCAGTAGGATGCTGTTGTCTGTGTCAGATCTCGCTCGATTACAAAGCTCTGGGAGCAGCTTCTGCCACCATAATGCCTGTAAAGATCAGACATGGACACAGTCAGACAGGATGATACTCTGAGGGAAACTGGGTATAAAGTCAAAAATAAATCAAAATACAGTCTCGATACAGAGTGTATGAGAGTGAGTGAGTTTAAAGAAAGACAGATTAGCCTGCAGCTGAGCAGAGACCATGTTTTTGTCTTGTAGCTGGTGATTGGCGTAGGCTATGATGGCCTGAGGACATCTGTCCAGCAACTTCTCAATGCTGCTGCCGTACTGTCCCCTTCTGGTGTCGCAGAGGAGGTGCAGGCTGAAGCCCCATAAGGTTTCCTCTGACAGACGCTCCAGCAGAGGCAGGACTGAACCAACAGACAAGGAAGGACCACACAGGAGAGACTGAAGAGACACAAAGATTTTTTAGTCATCGGACATCTGGATCTGAAGATATCGAGAGCTCAGCTCCCAGTCCCTCAGAGACGTCCTGTCTGCTGAACTGCGTCGGTAAATCATTGATTTGTAAAACTGCTTCATTCTGTGCTTCTATTGGTTTTAATCCCCTGGACTATTTGTTATGGAGAGGAGGACACCTCTTCATATACTTCAGCAACCAGCAAAAACCTGATGAATGTTTGATTCAGAAGTTATCAGAGCAACAATCGAAACAAAGGTTAGGAGCAATCTCAGCTCCCAGCCCTTCCCTGACGTCTCTGTCTGCCGTATAATGTCAGCAAAACACTGACTTTTAATGTGAAACTGCTTTATTCAGTGTTTTTAACGGTTATAATCATCAGGAGGAGACCTCTGTGGATAATTCGGCCCCTGGTAAAAACCTCCTGAACGACTGACACTGAAGGTATCCAAACTGGGAGATGCTGACAGCAATGGTTTTGAAGACAACTCCCATGATCCCACACTATTTCATGATGTCACTCAATGCCATCTTTTGTTATTGTTTTGAGAGACCCCTCAGAAGTTACAATCTTCAGTTTTCTTGGCTTGATAATTGTCAAATTTAAAGATAATAAGTATAAAAAATACGGATATCTAGTACTAAAAATGCTATGTGTAACCTAATTCTTTAAATTTTAAACTGCACAAGTCCCCAAATCCAAATGGTAGCTCCCTCTACAGTAGGTGTGTCCAGGACCACATTTTGCCATGACGACACACACACACCCAGACTCAAAACAATAGCAGTCCTGCTGTTGCGGCTGGTAAAAATGCAGAGGACATGCTGTTACACTACACCTTAGCATTTAGCATTATGTTGTCACAGTGGTCACTGTTTAGCAAAACAGCTCTCACTGCTCTCAACTTTTCATAAAGTTAAGTGTAGCTGTATAGTTGTATTGTATATGTGTGTATCAGCCTAAAATGTGCCTGAAGGAGTGTTTGGGTCTTGTCCTGCATTTCCATTAAAATCTTATAATTTTAATGATTCATATAGTTCCTTTAAGTCTTATTTAACTACTACAACACCCAGAAACAGAAGCACCTGCTTTGTTCATAGACAAATTACCTGCAGTTTGTGTAACGACTCCTGGTGTTGGAAGCTGGTAGTGTGAGCTGGACTGAGAACAGTGAGCCAGGGGTACAGAGCACCGTAATGGGAGCACGAGTTGATCTGAAACACAAATGAACTGATTTCAGAATCGTATACCATGCAAAAATAATACCTACAAAAAATCAGCTAGAGAAAACAACCAATGTCAATACCTTCAATTTCAACTCAGTTTGTTTTGGCTTTCACATGAGATCATGAAATACAGTATTTTATAAATGTGAGAGATGAGATGTACAAGTTGTTACAGCCAAAGAAAACAAAGATGACTGTACCAGATCGTCAGCGCTCTTCAGCGACCTGCGTCTTGAAGATGTGTGAGCGAGGCTGGGGTGTGCATCTGAGGTCGTGTACATCAGTCGATCGATGTAGACAGAGGTCAGTCTGAACAGAAGCTCCTGGATGACAGGTTCGTGTGAGGAGGCCATCAGTGTCGCCTCCCAGAAATCCACCTGTAAGCAGTTCTCACAGCCCAGCTCCTAGACACACACATAAACACACACACATACACTTATGTTTCTATTGCTATTCTTTCATGTACAATTAATTAAAATAGGCCAAAAACAGATCTTGCAAGCTATTATTTTGCTGCTTAACTTTCCAAGTCAGTGTGACGAATCAGTGGGCTGATTTTACTAATGACATACACACACCTTGAATATGTGATCAGCCTGTTCCAGTTGAACTTTGTTGTTCTCATGTAGAGCCACCATGCCAGCCACCAGCAGTCCTGGATGGGACTTTGTAAGCTGGTGACTCAACGCTGTGGGACGGATGTGTGTGTGCTGGCCTCCACATCCAGCATGAAGCAGCAGCCGCGGCTCCTGGATGAAACCGTACACCAGCAGCATCTGAACACACACACACACACACACACACACACACACACACACACACACACACACACACACACACACACACACACACACACACACACACACACACACACTTACTCTCATGTTCACAAATATTTACTTATTTTCCTCGACTGGCATTTAAAAATGAAAACCGTTGATTTTTATATAATTTATTATATTAGCTCATTAAATGTCTCTAAGAAAGCTTAAATAATAAAAAGTAGTCATCAGTAGCTGAACTCATACTTTTGACAGGTAGAATAATGTTCAGCCGTTGTAGCTAGAAGTCAGTGAATGTTAATGTGCTCTAATATCTTTGTTACTGAAAGACAACTATGTGCTGTCAAAGAAAGAAGAACAGATATTAGTTTCTTCTTCACTTGATAGTACCCATTAACAAACACACTCCACGTCCTCTGCCCCCACTAACCTCAGCATGTCTGTACAGTAGCTGTGTGAACTGTGGCAGGTCATCTAAACGCAGCATCATGTTTGCCATGGTGATTGTCAGTGGGACCGACACGCCAGATGTGTCCTCCAGATGTTGTAAAATTTGCAGCGTGCGGGCAGGACTGATGTTTATCATGGACGGGCTGGCACATACGCTGATGAGCTCTGAGGGATCTGATTGGCTGAAAATGTCGATGACCTCATCAGCTGATTCCTGTAGAGAGGGAATGAAGTTGTTTTTTTTTTTTTTTAGTTTCACTAATTGTTTCAGTTCGCAGCTGTAAAACAAAGAACTACTGATGTACAAATAGTTATGTAATTCATATTTTTTTCTACTCTACGTTTGCTGATAATGTTGAAATGATGCAGTTTATGTTGATTCATACACTTTAACCATTAATCAATTACTTTACCACATTTACTTTACTTTATATTCCAAGTTAAGACAAGACATTCTAAAGTTGTTAGCATCTATAGTTTATTCAGCCTCAGACTGACACAGCATAGCGCTTTTATTTATCCAGCATGTACCTGACTGAGGCTCTGCTCCATTTCCTCTAACAGATAATGTTTCAGGTAAAACAGGAAGCCAGGGCCATAGAAGTGAGGGCTGGCAGGATGTGGGCGGTTCCTGACCATGACCTCTGTGACTGACAGACCTGACATCCTGTAGTATGGTAAAGCCAGGTGGCAGTCCTTCTGGCTAGCCCTTATAGGAGGGAAGAGAAAAGAATTAGTGCTAAAAACTGACACAAAATACATAAGGATTAATGAGAAATGAAAGCAAATCTTAAAACGGCAATAAACATATATTAAGATTAATGTGAAGGAATGAGGAACTTTAAGGGATAAAATAACTAAAACTGAAATGTAGACAAAGAGTGACGCTCTAATTGCTGCCAATATGTTCATCAGTCTGTTCTTACATTGATGATTAAGAGAGGAAAACCAGGTAATTTAATTCAAGGGGTTTGATGGAAACTAAATTAATTTAAGTGTGTTTTGTATGTAGGCATGTGTAGGTATGTTATGAGACAGTTCTTTGTTTTATACAGATGTTTAACAGTAAAAACAGTCCAACACTTTACTGTTTAATTCCTGGTTTTCCTACTCAAATACAACCCAGTTGTGTTCCGTTTCATTAAAATGTTTCCAAAAGGAGATAATTTCATTCATTTCGATTTACACAGTTCAAAAAAAATCTAATTAAGTTAATTTACCTGCTGAAACAGTCTCCTAGCTGTGCACAGTTCTGCCTGAGGGCCTCCTCCAGCTCCTGTCTGTCTGTCTGCGCAGCTGTCTGTCTCTCAGGCTGTCTGTCTGCGTCTCCCTGCAGAGACGCCGTGGCGTCGCCCTCACTCTTCTGTTGCTGCTCTGATGTCTGGAGTAAGGCGGCGCGGAGGAGGAGGTGAGCTTCACTGAGGAGGTGTCGAAGGCTTTGGGCCTGTGGGTTGGTCTCTGCGTAGTGCCGACTGTATTCAACCTGACACACAGAGACACACAGGTGATTGTACAGACTCATAAACACATACAAAGTCACACATTCAGACACAAACACTCACAGAGCTCAAAAATCTGTCTGAATCTAAAATAATAAAGTGATCACATCTGAGTTACCATCTCTTGGTAGAGGGTGAGGGGGGTGACGGTGTCGACCACATACAGGTTCCATCCATGTCCTGCTGCACTGGTTTCTTTGGGAGAGGAGATTGTCCACTTCCTGGTCCTGAGGTCAGTGAACACAGAGAGGTAAACAGAAGTACAGTCAAACTGAGAAAGGAGCCAAATCAAATCCTCTCTGCGTCTTATCTCAAGGAGGAGATGTTTAGTCAATCTCAAAACGTGCAGACTGTTCAAAGTGGATTTTGGCACCACTGATGTCAACACAAAGAGGACAACGAGTTAAAATTTCAACATGAGTTAGGTGCAATGTATCGCTGATTTGGCCCCAGTCTGGAGTCTAGAAACTGGGATTCAGCCTAAATATCTACTATATAAAGTTACTTTAAAGCTATAGGAAATTAATGGTCTTACTATCAACTCCCAGAAATGTCCCTGCTTTTCCTTTACCTTCATTTTTCCATTTTTTGTTCTTGTTGTAAAAAGACTTTTTAATCTGTTTCTTTACTGGACACTGATGATAAACTGAAGATGTACACAAACACATTACACATATTAACAGGCTTTCCATGAACTGAACTGACAAATGATCCTTCTGACGTGTCAAGAACTTGTAGATGTCAAAGAACTACACCAGAGAGGAGAGTGTGATACTGTGATCATGGATACTACATCAACTGCATAATACTACTACATTTTACATGACCAAACAGTTAGTGAGCTGTTAGTGAACAGGTTAATGTGGATAATGTGATGGTCCCTGGACAATGAATAGTCTGTGCAGCGTGTGTGTTTGTGTTATGGCAGCTTCTTAAATTCAGCATGTGGCCTCAAACATGTGGTATGTTTTTTTTTTTTTTTTTTAATATAAACAAACATATGTTGCAATATAGCCCCCCCCCACACACACAGACCCGTTATGAGCGATAACCATCATGGAGATGATTGCTGCATTTAGTTGCCATTATTAAACTTGCTGTCAAGCGTTGTCAGAGCAAGTTTACAATCAAATCATGGAACATGCAAAGGGGGAAGAGCAACACCAGATCTGGACATTTTGGAGGTCATACATCACCTGTCAAAGACTTGCGCTTATAACTGCCTGTCCATAACTGCCTGGTGAGGGGTTCACGTATAACATCAAAGCCCTGCACTAAAGTAGGTGCTGCTGTTTCCTTGCAATTTCTGGCATCAGTCATACGTGGAGAAACCACTAATATTTGAATCCCAAAATGCAATTATACATTTACATATCATTTATTTTCATTTTTATTAAGAACATAAAAAAAAAACAAACAAAACAAATATCGGTGTGTGTGTACATGGCTTGCAAGAGACCGGGAACCTGTCTCGTAAAGCTGGATTATTAAATTAACTGACTGAAATTACAAACAGCCCTTTTATTTTTATTTCAGTCCACACAGGATTAGTTTGTGAGCAAAAAGTCACACACACTGAGGGCAGTTAGGATGGTTATGGTTGGCTAGGTTTAGGGACTAATACAGGAAATGTTGTCACTTTTAGACCAAGCTGCAAAGTCACAAAGAAATCTGGATCAACATTAAACTCAAACTGAAAAAAATAAAATAAATCAATGGCCGTTTTAGGGCTTTAGTATGTTGCAATATGGTTTCTTAGCTTCTGAAAAGGTAAAGTCTTAACTTTTATAGGTGTGTCAGCATTCATTTTTCTATTCAATGTAAAAAAAATGCCAGCTAGCAGCTGTCTAATGTCATCAAAAAACAAGATTTCTCATAGTGGGCTGGACACTTTATTTAGTTTGTCATTCCTTATGTGCTTCAGTTACGGCACACTGCCGGTCATGTGCACAGAACCAATGCAAATCTACAGTTAACCTCCAGAACTAAGGTATGAAATGGTGAAAACTTGAATTTCTTTTTTAATTTAATGAGCAGCTCACATGGCAAATACCTGATGGCTTTACTTCCTCATTTTTAAAAAACAAAGTAGTACTTTATGCCTCCAAAAGAAAAAAAAAAGGGTTAGACTGATGGTCTTAAGTGAAGGCTAAAAGATAGAAAGAGAAATGTTGATCTTATATCCATTTTTCTTCAGAGGGGATTCGTCATAGGGGGAAACTTTCCTCACTGATATTCCAGTTCAGGCTAATTACCACTGTTGGATCACAGCCAGCCATGCTGGTTTCACTGGCAAATGCAAATGCTGCTTCACTGGAAGCTGAAAGAAAAACCTTTTTGTTCTGTGACATCAAAGGTGAAACCTAATCTAAGGATTCGGTTAATAATCGTTGCCTCACGTAAGTATTTTTAGGGTGTCCTGGCGTTGCTGCTTGGCCTGAATGTGACAACAGACACTGAGGGGGGCGGGGTTTGGGTTTGTCTTACAGGAAGGGGCGTGATAGAAAGCTCTCCAGAGCCGGCGTGGTTGCGGGATCGATTCCCACCGCCAGGAAAATACCAGTCAGCATGGTGTGTTCTTTCAACTCGCTAAAATACACAACACACACACACACACAGTAAACAGGTTTTTATAAATGCACGTACGTCTGCGCACACACATCACCAAGTGCTGACAAGTCCCTCTTTAAAATCTTCCGGTGTCTGCAAGGAGGTATCTGAAGATGAATCTGAAAGGTTTTTGACTGATACAATATCATAGTCATGTGTGTGTTGTAATGTATAGTGCGTGCTAAAGTATGTGTGGGTGCGCACGTAACTTACAGGCCCCTGCGCTGTGTGCTGCGTTCCGTCTCCTCTGGTGTCTCTGTGTCGGCGGTGGAGAGCAGGACAACATGGCGGCCGTAGACGCACACTGAGCGCAGGCCGATGAACAGCTGCATCCTGAGCGCACACACCTCGAGGCTGCTGGGCGGACAGGCCTTCACACACAGACAAAAATGCACACGCACACCCAGGGAGATAAACACACATACAGAACATCATTATTTTAAGAACCCGCATCATACAACAGTACTAGTGCTTTTGATCGCAGCAGGAATCAAGCTGTATCGACCAACTGTCTGCCCACAAGAGTGCAGAAGATCTTCATAACAAGCTGACGAGTCCACAGCCTTACATGTTATCACCTTCAGTGTTAGCAAACAATTGTCTACTTTTTACACTGAGCATCATCTGCCAATTCCTGAAAAATATTTCTGACTTTTCCACTTTCTTCACCACCTATCTCCTAACTCTGTATGTCTGCTGTTTGGTGCTGGAGAAGTATCAGACTGAAAACAATGTGATTAAAAAAATTAAAAAAAAAACCCAAATCAGCTAAAAGAGGCTTCAAAGCAAGGTTCTAGGGTCAGGAAATACAAGTCAAGGATTAGGCTCACACCTTCATGGTGGTATCGATGTAGGGGTCTTCAATCCTGGCTGCCACTGCTGCACAGCGCACTGTGAAACACTGCAACGCACTCCTACCAGGCGCGCACAGAAATCAAAATACACTTACTCATTTTCCGCACATAAATCTTGACACTGTGGTAATAAGGAATTTCCGTATCAAATCAGACCGAGGACGTACTTTGTTATGACGTGCAACAGGTGGTCTGTTAGCACCGCCTCCAGGACCTTCTCTGGATATTGATAGGCTGAGAGCAGCTCCACTCCGCCTTTCAGGCTGTACAGGTAGCCGGCGGTGGGGAGGGAGAAGAAGCAGAACACGCACGCCGGTCTGTCCGTGGACACTGACTGGTTACCTGGAGAGAGGCACACAGAGAAGTCATGCATGCTCGCACAAAACACATACATAATGATTCCTCACACACTCTTACCCAACGAGACAATCAAACCATCTGCATCTCCCTCTATCACACCAACAGGGGACAGTATTCAATTAAATATAGAGGTGTACAACTGTGGAACACCAAAGATTTAAAAGAAAATCAAAGGAGGCATTAATAAGCACCCAGACTGTGTTGTTTTTTTCCACACTCAATATATATTGTTTTGTCTTTTGACTTGTCCGTTTTCGTCCGTTTTTATATATTATTTATTTTTTCTCTCATTTTCTTTTTTTCCTTTCTCATTTCTTATGAGCTGTAGAAATACAGTGGAGAAATCTGCTTCTTAATTAGTCATTTTGTCTGTTAGGGAGTCCTCAAATTGTAAATCTTCTATGAAATTTCACTTGATTTCAATACAAATCAACTCTAGAATCAAGTGTCATCATTTTAAACCAGCAACCTGCAGAATTCTGTCTTGTTTAAAGATGCTAAAACTTATCTATAGCAACTCAATGTAACCAGGGAGTCAGCACTGATAATGATCCATCTGCCCGTGTCTCACATGTTGTACTCACTGGTGAAAAGCGGGTAAAGCTGCAGGGAGTGAAGTTGTGTCTCCTCCACACTGCAGCCCTGGAAGAACTCTGGAGTAAAGCGCCTGCAGGAGGGAAATGAAACAGGTTAAATATACTCATCCTATACCTCGACCGGCAGAAGATCTAAAGGTCAAACTCAAAAATACACAGACACACCTGAAAAGAACATATGACAGAGTGTATTGTCCTTTGTCCTCCAGCCCGGTCTTTTCAATGCTGACAGGGATGTCACAGTCTTTAGCTCGATCACCGAGCAACTCCTGGTGCTTCGGAATGAGCAGAAAGTCAGTCTGGTCTTCGAGATGATCTGCTGCACAAACAAATACACACACACAAATCACAAATGATTGTCTCAAGTGGCCCTTTTCTACATTCTATAGACTAAAAATAACTAAAAAAAAACAAGCATTAAAGAGGGGAGCAAACACTGATGAAGTTGTGTTATTACCAATTTTACTTGTGTCCGATGATTCGTCCAGGGTTTTAGATTCAGAGGGTGTTTCCAGTTTCAGCACTAGCACCTCCAGCTCTGCCTGCACTGCTACATATCCTACACACAGCGCCACCTTGAGGGGAGGTGTTAAAGTAACACAGACTGAAACAAACTGTCTGTTTTAGTAGTTGGAACGTAACTAAAAAATAGCAAAACAAAAGCAAATGCAAGTCTTCTGTTTGTGAAATGATCAAGAATTATTTACGATGCCAATGATTTGTTCCAGGCAGATGTCACACTTCCAATTTATGAGTGTGCTTGTAAGTAAATGCTAAGTATGTGTGTGTGTGTGTGTGTGTGTGTGTGTGTGTGTGTGTGTGTGTGTGTGTTATTCACTGTTATGTCTGTGTAGCTGATAAAAAAACTGAACTATGACATAACACTACAAAAAATAAGGGTTAAGAAAAGAAAACTGAAGCATACATTGACAGTACCTGTTTAGGTGTAATTTTTGGAACGTGCACGATGACCGAGCGTTCAAAATCCAGAGCGGAAAAATTCTGATTTGAACTTGAGGTCTGACCTACGAGCAGAAAACAAGGAGAGGTCGGATCAGTCTCAGTCCGAGGAGGAAACTGTAGAAGAGTCGGCTAATTGTGCATCTTTCTCCATTGGGGATTTATTTTTCATTTCTCCTTTTGGGGTGGTAGAAAAAACTCTATTCTGGTTTGTAAAGACTACATACAAGTTTTAAAACAAAATGACTCTTGAATGAATCACACTTATGACTTAAGTTACCTTGACTGTGACTGGAGGGCTGCTGAGCATTCGGCCAGGGGCTCTGAAGGTTCTGTTGACTCTGACTCTGCTGTTTTTTATCCAGAAAAAGAAAAATATTGCCACTAAAACACTGATTGTATCAAAAAGTCCACTTATGTTGACTAGAGTAGATAAAATACAGTGACAAAAACATGCTTAAATTATGGAAAAAAAAAAAAAACATCTGATATTTTAATAGTTTTTGAGGCCTGAAAGATATTGCAAGAAAATATTGGCACTTTAATGTCCTGGAAAACTTCACATCAAAAACTGTGAATCTGTAATGGTGACCTCAACCTGTAACAGAAGTCAAAGAAGTAAATATGCCATTTCATTGTGTCTTTAAATGAAGATAATTTACAATGACACCCACAGAGGAGCTGAACTCCTATATGAGCAGCCGAATTCGTACCAGGTTCTGCTGGTTCTGTCTCCTCAATGTGAACAGAACCAGAGTGTTCTCGCAGCCGACCAGCAGGTCTCCTGTTACAGAGCAACACGCCATGGCAACAGGTCGCTCTGACAGAGGGATCTCTATGATTTCCATCTGCACTCCGCCCCGCACAGATGCCCCACGCAGCAGGTGGCCCAACAAACGCACACCAACGCGGGCTTTCTCCTCAGCCTGAGTGGAGAGAAAGGAAATAAACACATAAATACACGAGGAATAAAGATGACAGTGGAGGTGGGATTATACTGCAGGAGATATACAGATGGAAAATGAACTATAAAGCTTACATCTACAGATGGAGGCAAACAGATCTATATTCTCTTGATAGGGAGAAGTTTTTTTCCTTCATCATCTGAGGGTAATTCTTAGTTTGCTTGTGTACTTTAACATTAACATAGGCAAGAGCTGCCTGTACACCCCTAAATGGTTGGAAATAAATTATATTCAAAATGGTGGAATGAATGGAATTAAACTGCTTTTAAAAGGGTTTGAAATCCATCTCAACTCATTTTTCTCTGTGCCTATTGCCACACACATCAGTGCACCAAGACCAAGCCAAACCAGGTTTAATATTAATACCACAACAGAGTGTCTGTGATTCCAGGCTTTTTCCCTCAGAGAGAAACAGTTTTTTAGTTTATTGTTTTGTTAAATAAAGGCTGCTATATGTTTTGTTCTAACCCCTAGTGATAATATTGCATAAATTGAAATATCTTTATATCAAACCATAAAAAAACAAAAAAACAAAAAACGAAGTACAATGGTGTGTGCTTCTGTTTCACAGCACTGTGATATAAAGTATTTGTGAGAAAGCTCAGCTGGTCAGTGTTTACCTGGTATCGCCAGTTGGTGTAGGCTCGCAGGTAGGTGGCGCTGTTCTTCTCCTCAATGGTCACCAGGTAGTCTCCTGGATGTGAGGGAGGAGAGAGGAGGCAGCAAAGGAAAAGCCAGGATGTTAAAATGTCTTCCCTCACACTCACACTGAAATCACTGCTGCCGTCGGCTGCATCGCTTGAATATAAAACATGGGAAACAAAGAAGCTGCTACAGGAGAATGGGGATACTTGTGACAAAGGCAGAGGAGGAACTGTGGTTACCTATCTTGCTGTGCTGGATGCTCCTCACGGTGCCCATGGTGGCAAAGCGGCAGATGAGAGGGCAGCCCTCCTGCTCCACACTGTACGCTTCCACCTTGGTTCAGTACAACACAGTCAGTGCCCTGCAGAAGCTTTTCATTTCCAAATGGTCCCTTCTATGAGATTTAAGATGATCAACGCTGCCATTCATGAATATTCCCACAATGTGCAGACATTTACACTGGTATATATTAGGGCTTACCACCTCTTTTCTAATTATTAAATACTAGATATGCATTTATTGGTTTGAGGTACTATATCATTATTTCTACCCCACTGAAGGTACAGGTGTGTCTCTCTGTGTTAATGAAAAAACTTCCCATGTCTGTGAGTCAGTGGAGACTTCTAAATTATAGTGGAAATACACAGCTTTGGAAAAGCCCAATTTTGAGGTTATTCAATATGAACACATTGTCATTGATTTTGGTCTCAAAGTATAGATATTACACTGAAAACATCTGCATCAGTCATTTCCTAATATGCCTCTTGCTTCTGTTTAGTCTGTGCATCCATTTGGAGGTAGGTATAGCATCTAGTAAGACAACAATAATACAGTGCAATTACTGGAATAACGTGCACGCAGACAACTGGAAACAAGTTATTTTCTGATAAATTACAGAAAGAAAACAGATATTGGCAAAAGAATATGCATAGTTTAAGGTCACCTTGCATCCTCCAGTAGCAACCACGAACAGAGCTCCACCTCCACAACAGACCAGTCCAGGCTCCTGCTCCACCTGAGCCACAGAGAGGGACAGTAGATAAGACTACTGCAAAATTATACATACATAAAAAAAATCTACAACAAAAAAAAAACACAGGTATGAGTGGAATCAGTATTAATGAGTTTCCACTGACCTGCACTATCTGCTGTGAGGCGAATGGATGGCAGTTGTACACGTGCACCATGTTTGGTCTGTTTCTTGGAGAGCTCAGTCAATTCAGTAGACGGTGGAAATGTTTATTAGCCTCTGAATGCGGCTTTCTCTTCCTTTGATGGTGCTAGGATACGGAGAAATCCATGAACTCCTCCTCTGTTCTATGTGTGCTTCGTGGAGGCTTCATCCATGCCTGCAAAAAAATAAAAGTTTTGAAGGCATTTTAGTTTAGTCCGGTGCAATCTACCATATCAACAATAGACTCTTATTAGAGTTGGACATTTTATAGATATCTCATTATGGTACGAGAGAAGAAATGATTTAGGATTAAGGATATTATCATGTGAAAATTTCATATTCAAGCACATGTGCAATTTTCAGATATTTCACATTTGGAGCTTAAGACATTCCATTTGAAAATATCCATTTAACATCTAATATCACATGCAAAACACTATAAATTCCTAAAATGTAGTGTTGCTTATCACATGTGAAACAGCATTTCACATAAGGAATTCACAGCCAGGAACATGTCATTTATAGACATTTACAAGAATTTCACATGCCCAGTGCAGTGGGCGATGATGGAGTTTAGTTTGGGGTATTTAAAGTTTAAAATGAACAGCAACCCATCTTTCTAGAAACAATGGCTATACTTTTGATAATCCACAAAGGTTCAAACATTTCTGTTTATTTGGCATTGAGTAGTTTAAATGAAAACATAAAACTAGAACTGGCTGCATTTTTACTGTTGTTTTTCTTCATCTTCATGGTTGCTTTATATATGACTGACAGTTTTGGGAACTAAACCATCATTCAAAACTTTCTTGTGTACAGCTCAGTCTCTTCTGAAAGCGCCTATCCTCACATTGTCGACATCTAAATTTATCCAATTTTATCTTTATCTGACTGAAGTTCTGACACTTTAAAAACCAATCTAACAAAGTGAAAGTGTCAAAATAAGATGTTAGGGAGCCAACAGAGCAACACATTAGCAAGAAAAGGTAAAAACGAGACCAACAACTAACTTTAAGGTTGAGTTAAGCTTCCTCTGTATCTCTGGCCGTCCATCAGGAGCTGAAACAGGGTGAGTTTCTCTAATCGATATCACATGTCGCAGTCTTGTGAGCAGCAGCAGCAGCAGCCCCGAGTGTTTCAATTCAACTCAGTTTAGCATAGTTAATCGCCGGTTTATTCACATTCTTATTATTGATGAAGCGTCACAGTTTTTACACAAAATAAAGGATCGATTATTAGTGAATTACCGTCTTTACTGTCGGCTTCTCCTCCCTTCTTACTTCTGTATTCTCCTCTGCGGTTTATTGATTTCACGTTGCAACACAGGAAGTAAACCACCACAACAACAAAGCGCCCGCCTCCAGTTGATTTTCATTGGTTCCCGTACCTGCTCCTATCGCGTATCACGTTCCCATTGGCTGTTGAGCTGTCATGAACTACAGGGCAGATCTACGTCTGTTATGATTTTCATTTTTCTGTCTTTTTAGGCATTTGTTTCACCATTTTATCTTGTGGTTGTGTAATTACTCAGGTGGAGCACTGTCTTCAGTTCTGAAATAGTTTTTATTTAGACTAAAACCTCGAGATAAAAATCAATTTAATCCAGTAATCTGTGATTTTTTTAAATTCCAAAATTACAGATGCAGGGTAGGTTCAGGCTGCTTAAGAATAGTTTACTGTCTGGGTTTCGGTTGATAATCACTATTCTTGTGTTGACATTTCGATATTTTAATTGATACATCGATACTTTAATGGAATATACATCCTGGTACTAAAACTAAATCAGTCAGTCAGTTGTGTTGTGTGTGGAGAAGCCCGATTTGAGGATTCTCTCTGATTTCTAGTTATAAGACAGAGTGATAAATGTTTCCAAATACAGACTTAACTGTCCTTGGTCACAGGAATAACATATGTTACATTTAAAAGTTTCATTTAGTCTGAATTGCTTTCAAATGAATAAACTGTATATTTTTGAATGTTGTGTAATTATTTCTTAGCAACTTGAACTTTATGCACAGCTGCTGTTGGTCTCTTACCTTCACTTACTGCTGCAGTTTATGAATTTTGAACATTCTTTCATTCACAGCCGGTTTGCTGCTTTACTCTCTGTGCATCCATGAGAATGTAAGTACTCATGTTGTGTAAATATGTCATTTAATAAAAGAGCAGTCATGTAATCCATTTATATCCCGTATCTAAGGGAAAGGTTGGCATGGGGAAAATAGCAGGAAATGAATAAAAGCCATCCTAGATTCTGATGGCAGAATGTTGGACTCCTCTAAGGCCACCAGTTGGCCTGCACTTCAGCCAGATCTCTCAGCCCAGACCTGGCCCAGTCTTTTCCAGAATAATTTCAGCAGCATAAGAAAAGTAAACTGGGGAACAAACAAATGCAGAAACTTTTCATACCTGTGACAATATCGGAAGTCAGGTGAACAGGAAACAGGGCGTGCAGGGAGGAAACAGAGCGGAGCACAGAGGGTAAGTCCGACAGGGTTGGAGGCTTTGAATTTACTTTCTCAGCAAAGTGGTTCAAGAAAATGTTAATTTCTTGATGCTTCATGTGAACAGGGCGACATCTATTGGTCAGAATGTAAAATGGGCAAACGCAATGTTTGAATATCACCATGATTTTATTCTATATCCTAAGCTTAGGCCTACATTTACTGTAAAGTAATTACTGTAAAAACAGTCTATGAAAAGCTGCCCAGGCCAAAACTGAGTACTTCACTTACACTTGCATATATACTGGCACTATGCACATGCACATATATGCATACTATCATGCATATAATATATATACACATGCATGCATAATGTGAGGATATGTGCATGAGTATGAGGGTATATGAGTGTGATAATGTGTGCTTGAGAATGTTTGTATCCAGAAGGCACCACTACCACTAGGAGGCACACCAACCACCAATAAACGTAGAAGAAGTAAAGACAGGTGGAGGCAAAAAGCATTATGATGGTCACCCATACTGTGTGGGAACTTTGGGCAGCAAGTTTTCTGCTCTGGAAAGTCATTTTATTTAATACAATTAAAATGATGTGATTTCATAGGGATGCCAGAATCCAACTCAGGCCAGAACCACACATTTTGGTCCCCCACAACCAGCAAGAAATAGTTAATCATGAGTATGACTCTGCCCCAATAGGCTCAAATTAGGGTCAAAATTATTTTGAACTTAATGTAAAGTGATGTTCACAAATAATTCCAATATTTGCAGTTGTAAATCAACCTTTGTAAACCTGTAAAATAAATCTGCATGAGAAATTCAAGTTTTGCTTGTGTAGAGGAGATGTGCATGTGAATCAAAACTATGAACAAATGATCAGTCTTAAGGTTAAACAAAGACATAAAAAAGAGGAAATGGTTTTGTCAACATCTGTTTACTGATACAGAGCAGAAAGCTGTGTAAAACTCTGCACCCAAAAGTTTACACACAGTGTAGCAACATTAACAGGGTCAAAATTTGTACTGAATGAATGTTGCGTGATGAGTTTTACAGTTTTCCGCTCTGTATCTCTACACAGACATCCACAGAGACATCTTCTTTCCCTGTGTGTTCGGTTATCCTCACCACTGATCACTGGATCAGTTTTGATTCACACAGTCTCTTTTTTAACAAATACAAATCTCTCTGCTACAGGCACATTTTTTTTTTAATTGAATTTTGAATTTCTCAAGCTCAAAATCTGCTATTCTGTACAAGTACTAGAATGTGATGCGGACCAAATTTTTATCTCAGTACGTGAAGGCAGTCTCTCTCTCTCTCCCTCTCTCCCCCTCTCTCTCTCCCTCTCCCGGTTCTGACAGGTACTTCAGTGTTGTCGCTTCCTGCAGACCTCAGCTGAGGTGTCGACAGCAGCTCAAGTTGATATGTCATTCGCCGACTGAAACTTTGCAGTACCTTCTACACCGTGCTATGATGAGGGCACTACAATCAGCGCTGTAGTCGGTGTCTCCCACATCAACTCTGCATTACATCCTCAGCAAGTGTGCAGATTGCATGCAGCAGTCCCCTGCAGTGCCTGTGTGTATCGGTCGCTCTGCAACTCACTCAAGGTAAGACTTGTTCGTTACTTAAATGATGGACGCGGTTTAATTTATAAAGTGCTACAAAGCTACAAAATAGTTAGAGAAGAATATTTTTAACCTCACTGCTAGTCGCTACCTTCACCTGACAGGATGCACGTTTTGCGGAGTGAGTTTACGATTCACTTCATTTGCAATTTGAACATAATTTGTTTTCAAATTAGAGAAAAAAAAAATCAAGGCATTTGAGGAGAGAGTAAAACTGAAGCAAACATGACTTCTTGAGCGTATGTTTTTGTGGGATTTTTCCCTAGATTTACTTCAAACACTTTCAAATGTATGTTCTTGTAGACCTCTGTGTCTGCCTGACAATTAATGTTTCAGCATGGCATTGCATTGCATAAAATAGTTTTATACTGTACAGTGAAACCGTTGCATTGTACCGTGCAGGGATTCAGAGAGGATAGAAATGAGCCAAAGGTATTCCTCTTTGCTGGGGGACCCCCTATGTCCTGCTGGACCTTCTCCATAGCTCTTCCATAAAAACAGCTGCTTATGTGCAGGAGCCAGGCAGCTCCCCTTAGGAATGCCCTTACCTCAGAGCTGAGTCATGCAAATTATACCTCCCTTCTCTTTCTGTCATCTACTGTGTTTAAGCTGCTATCTTATAAAAAAAATGAGTTAATTTCAAGCATAGATTTCTGAAATCATTTTATTCATAGAATCTACTTTCTCAACTGATGTTACAAATTGTCTTAAGTAACTTCTTTAACAACAGGACCAGAGGAACAGCAGGTACTGTTAGTTGCAATATTTCATTACAATGCAATGAGTAGTTTCACACCACCAATTCCACACAAGTGATGACTAGTTTCAAATGTTTTGAGCATATCTACAGTGATGTTTTATAAGGCACCAAATGGTGATGCAGAAACATGCTGGCTCAAAACTCCTGGAAATAGTTTGGAGATTCAGCCAGAGATGTGGATAAGACACAGTAAACCAGTTTTCAGAATGAAATAAATCTTTATGATGACAAAAAATATACTAATTAATGTCAGTCTGTGTTCTTTAAACAAAAAAGTACAGGAGATGACCTTTGACTGGAGAATGTATGATTTTATGGGGTTAAATTACACTGCCAAAGTATTTTCCTGTTTTGCTTGGGGCTTATAAAAGAACATTGTACAGACACTATTGAAATACCCAATAAAGCTGGGAAAATTAGCATCTGAGAGAACATTTGAATCAGTTTGAGACCAGAAAAGGAAAAACTTTGCATAAAATGCAACCTACTGGAGGCAAAACTCCAAACCTAATGAAAACTGTGGTGCAGTGTGATAATGGCCCCTCCGCCTGCAGCACAGACCCAGGGAAAGTCATCTAGCATTTCACACAAACAAGATGTTTGCTGCTGTGTTGCTACCAATCTGCAAGCCCAGCCACGCTTGATATGCACCTGTATGTGTGTGAGAGAAGTGTCAAGAAGCAGTCAATTTCACAAACTAACCCTCTGGCAATGGTTTAGTCTCAGCTCCAACATGCACACGTGCACCAAACGCAGGCATCTGTGAACTCTCTGAGAAGGTTTCGTAGGATAAATGGATAGACATGCAAAGGAAGGAAGGATGGAAGGAGGGACAAGAAGAGACAGAAACAATGCTTAGAAGTGCAGGAGAGGAGTTAGGAAGTGATAGCACAGTGAGTAGTAAGGTGGTGGAATAATATGAGCAGTCAGGAGAGGAGGAGAAGAATGGAAACTGTAAAGGTAAAGGAAGGAGAAAAGATTAAAGAAAATAGGAAGGTTAGATAGGACAGCCAAAAAAAAAAAGGGGGGGGGGGGGGGAAAAAGTTTGGAGGATTAGAAGAAAAGAAGACAGGCAAATGGGAAATGTTTTTAACCAGTCCTAAATGTGTCCTTGTTGGGGGGAAAAAAAACAGTTATACAGTAGTTACTGAAACGTACAGGTAAACACAGTCAGGCAGCTTCAGACATGTTCTCAAAGCAAGCAGACGACCACAGGGAGAATATGATATTCCACCTCTGTCAAATGTTTAATGTCACACCTCTGAAACAGTTCAGTAGAGGTCATGGAGCATCTGATAATCTGTTATGTTCTTGCCTCCATCTCTGTGCTCAGGTCGAGTTTTGCACTGAACACGGAACAACAAAAATCTGCGTCATTGGATGTCACATTAGAGGTGTTATACTATTCTTTGTTTTTGATGTGGTGCAGACATTTGCGGCTGAAAAGCAGCGCAGACCACAAGTCAAGAAGTTCAG